ACTAAAGTACGAGTATGCATGACCTTGACTGCGTATTAGCCACTGCATCAATTCTACAGATAATGTGCGTACAAGTCATGGGGATTTCCGGTGGTGATGTGCCTATACATACCCACAGAAACATCCTCTCCAACCTCATACCTTCACATTTCTTCTCTCTCGAGCGTTCCATCAATGGCTGCAGCTGGTAGCGGCAGTTTCCAGGACGGACGTATTGCCTCGAAGCGTCTCATGATGCTCGTGGCCCTGCTTCTCGTCTCCTGCTGTCTCGGCCATGGCTTCGGCGATGAGGATCATGTCGAGGTGGAGGGAATCGGCAGCAGTTGCATGGAAAGCGAGAGGAGAGCTCTCCTCGCCATCAAATCCGATATGTACGACCCCGACAACTGGTTTTCTTCTTGGACCGGCAAAGACTGCTGTGGGTGGAGAGGTGTGGCCTGCGACAACACCACCGGCCATGTCACCAAGCTCGACCTCCGCTACCCCGACACGTACGATGTGCGGGATATCTCAGACATTATGGAAACAATGGGTGGGAGCAAGGTAAATCCTTCGTTGCAAGAACTGAAGCATTTGACATATTTGGATTTGAGCATGAACAACTTCTCCCACGCCCCTGTGCCCACAATGATCGCTTCGCTGGTCCACTTGGAATATCTCAACCTATCTAATGCCATGTTCGATGGACCAATTCCTCCTCAGTTCGAGAACCTCTCAAACCTACACCATCTCGACCTTCACGGATGGTATGATGATTTACATGTTGATGATCTCGATTGGCTCTCCCGTATTCCTTCTCTAAAATATCTTGACATGAGTTATGTCGACCTCTCCAAGGCGACCAATTGGTTTTATGTAATTAATTCAATCTCTACACTCGAAGTGCTACATTTGATTTATGTAGACCTGCCATATGTTCCATCTCGTTTGCCCCCTTTTAATCTGACAGCCATTGCTACTTTGGATCTATCTGGGAATTTCATCATCACGTCTGCCATGCTAAGCTGGCTTTCTAACGCCACCAGCCTCGAGAACCTTTTTCTTTCTGGCTGTTGGAGTCTCACTATCGAGTCGTTACAAGTTGCTCTCGGAGCTCTCAGTAATCTGAAGGGATTGGATTTGTCAGACAACTCCCTTGAAGGAGAAATTCGTGAAATTCTGAACAATGTCAGTAGCAGGGGCCTGAAGCACTTGGATTTGAGATCGAATCAATTATCTGGAGATATTCCTCCAGGGAGCCTTAGAGACCTGGAGTACCTGGACTTATCAGGGAATTCTATTGTCGACGTGCATATCTTAGCTTCTCTGGGGAATCTCACAAACTTGCGACATTTAGAATTGTGGGGCAATTCAATCAGTGGAGAAATTCCACCAACCGTAGGAAAATTTGTCCGATTGGAGTACCTAGATTTGAGCTCCAATCAATTATCTGGAGATATTCCTCCAGGGAGCCTTAGAGACCTGGAGTACCTAGACTTATCAACGAATTTAATTGTCGACGCGCATATCTTAGCTTCTCTGGGGAATCTCACAAACTTGCGACATTTAGACTTGGGGGGCAATTCAATCAGTGGAGAAATTCCACCAATCGTGGGAGATGCTGTCCGATTGGAGTACCTATATTTGTCCTATAATGGCATCATTGGAAAAATACCACAGAGCATGGGGAACCTCAGTAACCTATTGGAATTACATTTATCAGGCAACAAAATTGTGGGATGGATACCACCGAGCATCGGCAACCTCACCAACTTGGTAATGTTGTATTTATCAAGCAATAATATTGTCGGATGCATTCCAAAGACTATAGGTACTCTCATCCATATGAAGGTATTATATCTCGATGACAATCAAATTTCTGGAAAAATACCAGAAACCATTGGGGGTCTTCAAAATTTGCAGGTATTATATTTAGACAATAACTTTATTACTGGAGAAATACCAGCAACCATTGGGGGTCTCCGGAATCTGCTGATGTTATCTTTAAGCAATAACCTTATTTCTGGACCAATACCAGAAACCATTGGGGGTCTCCGAAACCTGCAGATGTTGATTTTAAAAGGTAACTCGTTTACTGGGCAAATACCTGATACGATTGGTAGACTCCGTAGCTTGCTGTATTTGGACATATCAAATAATAATTTATCAGGTCCACTGCCAAAAACAATGGGTGATCTGTGCAACTTGACCATTCTGGATTTGTCTCAGAACCACATTGGTGGAGAACTAACCAATCTATTTGATGGTTTATCTGCCTGCACACAATGGACATCTTTACTATCCTTATACATGCAGCACAATCATTTAAGCGGTACTATTCCTTTAAGTATGGGTCGAATATCTCAATTACAAGTTTTATACCTCTCTTCAAACTCTCTGGTAGGTAACATCACCAAAGCACACTTTTCTAATCTCACAAATTTATTAGGATTTATAATATCTTCCAACTCCTTGAATGTGATCCTACCGAATGATTGGCGTCCCCCTTTTAATGTCGAATTTATTAGCATGAGCTTTTGTCATTTAGGAGCTGAATTGCCTGCTTGGCTTCAAACTCAAACGCAATTAACAACTCTAGATCTATATGGAGTTGGACTCTCGGGCAATCTCCCGGTTTGGTTTTCAAATTTCACAAGAAGATTGCATCGTCTTAATATGAGCTCTAACAATTTACAAGGTCGATTACCTTCTGCTCCCCAATTAATGTTGGATCTCTCCAATAACTCATTTATTGGACCTATTCCTCCAAGCTTCGTAATATCTACAGGCCTTTCTCTATTATCTTTATCTCATAACCGTATCAATGGTAGTCTACCTCCTTCTTTTGTCATATGCAATCACTTCAGGTCCTTGACCTATCTAATAATCACTTAATTGGAGAAGTCCCGGATTGTCGGAACTCATTCCCAACCTCTCTGCAGTCATTACATTTGAATAATAACAATCTATCTGGAACAATTCCTTTGTTTTTGAAACATTGTGACCAATTAGTTACCCTTGATCTTGGTGAAAATAAACTGTATGGCAGAATTCCAACATGGATAGGAAGAAACCTCTCGTCGTTGAGAGTTCTTCGTCTGAGGTCAAACGTTCTAAATGGTACCATCCCAATGAATATAGTGAATCTCACTTCTCTCCAGGTATTGGATCTTTCTTCCAACAATCTAACTGGCAGTCTACCATCATCTCTGGGAAATTTCAGGGCCATGGTTGAGATACAAAATAATATCACGTCAGTGCTTCATATCGAAACATATTATTATGAAGAGAGCATCTTGATGACCACAAAAGGATTAAATGTTACTTACACAACCATTCTCTCTCTGGTGACATGCATAGACTTGTCAAATAATCATCTCTCTGGTGAAATCCCAAAAGAACTGACAAAGCTTCTCGGATTGCTTTTCCTAAACTTATCCAACAATCATTTGACGGGGAGGATTCCAGAAAAGACGGGTGACATGAAACAGCTTGAATCACTTGACTTATCGGTGAACAATCTCACAGGGGAGATACCTTCAAGCTTTTCTGCTATGAGTTTTCTGGCCCGTTTGAATCTGTCTTACAACAACTTATCAGGAAAAATACCCACGAGCGGTCAATTGTCGACCTTTGACTCATGGACATATGTGGGTAATAAAGGCCTTTGCGGTATGCCGCTGCCAGATTGCCCTGTTTATCAAACTCCACCTGACGCCAGAGTTAAACATGAAGATGATGGGAAGCTCGACAAATTATTGGAGTACACCAGTATTGTGGTTGGATTTGTGGTTGGCTTTTGGCTCTTTATCGGCACGCTCATCATGAAGCAGGCCATCAGATTCGCTTTCTTCCGACGGATCGACAAGACCATT